AGAATTCTATGAAACCCATTCTCTTAGACATTCAGCTGATCACCATTAGCGTTTTCTACATATATTAAGCTAATTACTTTAAAAAATCACATAGCAATGTGCCAAGCTTTACAGTTTCTTTCTTTTTTGGATATATCAGTCTGACTGGATGTAGGATTTCATCATGAGCTGACATCAGTTAGAGGACCACTGGAAAACCTGGGAGTGCTGGATGGCTGTTTCGTCCTAGTTTGAGACTCTTCAGCAGTACGCACCCACCGGGATTCGAACCCAGGACCTTCTGGCTATAAGGCGAGCTCGTAGGCCATTGAGCTACTGGGACCCGATCCAATGGCCCATGAATTCTAACTTCTGCCAATTCACGACATAGTGCAACCACTTCTCAATGTCTTCTTCGATGAGTTACTGTCTCATCTTCAACCTGCTGTACCCTACTGGCTACGGCTTCTCACTAGAACCCCAGGTCACTGCATGAATAGGGCCAGTCGCTAGTGAGAATCAGATTAATTTTCAAGTATTGGTTCTGTAAGGATTTTGTTTGATTGAATGTAGGATTTCAGCATGAGCTGACGTCACTTAGAGGACTACTGGAAAACCACAGCTTTCCAGTACTCCCAGGTTTTCCAGTGGTCCTTTAACTGATGTCAGCTCATGATGAAATCCTGTATCCAATAAAAAAACCTACAAAACAAATACTTGAAATTTTTTCAGTTTCCTTGAGTTGTTTCAGAGGTCTAGTTGAAGTATTTTATCCTTCTGGAGACTTAACTTTCCCTTAACACAAGTATTTTTGAATTATTATCTTCACCGGCGACATTTTGCGGTGCCTCTCAGTTCATGAACAGTTAATTATTTTACTAATTACCATTTTATTTTAGGTGGTGTGTTGCTACATCATTGCTTATAGACTGAATATTGAATAGAAAACTATTAAATATAAAACAAAAAGTTGGTTGATCCCGTAAGCAGGAATTTAAAAAAACCATTACATCTAAATTCCAATGTTTGCATGATGTCGTTTGTGACAAACATCCTGTATAATGACATCTAATGCAAAATCTGTCTGAATAGTGGGTTTTATTCTCAGATGAAAACGTAAATGGCCATTGCCTACCGCGAACGCCGGACATCCAAGTAAATTATCTGTTGGCACGATTTCACATTGTGAACCGTAAGGGTATATCATCATTCTCTTACTATATTATTCAAGACTCTGTACAGGCATAAAATGATGGACTAATAATGTTCAGTATATCTACCCAACAGAGGTGATGAAGATTCTTGGACAACACCAACAGCAACAACAACAACAGACAACGATCAGCATAAATGTGAAGAACTTGAAAGAAGAAACCTCCTTTACCTATCTGGGAAGCATCGTTTCAACTACAGGTGGAACTGAAGAGGATATCAAAGCAAGAATCGGAAAAGCAAGACAAGCTTTCACTACTCTCAAGTCTGTGTGGAGATCAACAGCACTCACCGTCAAAACGAAGATAAGATCCGGATTTTCAACTCCAATGTGGAGTCAGTGCTACTGTGGTGAGAGCTGTCTACTAGCCAAATTGGTGGACAGTAATTTACGTCAATGTTTACGTTCTCAAGATTGGTCGTGAGAAAATATGAACAAAACTGATTCAAAAACCGATTACAACAGACTTTGCGTAGGCGGATACAGTTAACATATAGATGATCTGACATTCAAGAGACAGTCACAAATAGATGAAAGATTAACTTTAAGTGAGAAACAACCAATCAGAAGACTGTGTTTGTTTGCTTAACTAATCTATAATAATGTACATGAAAATATATAAATATGCTTTGATTTCCTTAATAAACGATCTGTTGCCTGGCCCTTATCTTCTATTGTTACACTACTATACGGATCAGAGACTTGCACTGTGCGTCATAAATAGCATCTCAAACAAACTACAGACCTTCATTAACAGTTGTCTTCGCTCAATACTCAAGATCAGAGGGCCAGACAGAAAAGATCAGCAGTAAAGATCTCTGGGAGCGAACCAACACAGCACGAACCGATTGTGAAACAAATAGGCAGGAAGAAATGGAGATGGATTGGCCATACTCTGAGGAAACAAACCATGAAGTGACATCACTAGACAAGCCATTGCTCGAGTGGAACCCGATAGGGAAGTGGCGAGTTGGTCGTCAGTGCGAGGGTGGGTGACTTGGAGGAGGTCATGTGAAGAGGAGATGAAAACGTGTGGGCAGACTTGGAGCCAGGTGAAGACTCTAGCAGAGAACCGAACGCAATGGAGACGCACGGCTGAAGCCCTATGTTCCTCTAGGAATTAAAGGATACAATAATAATATAATAATAATATCTACCCAATGAAATTAGAAGTGATCAGTGTAATTCTTTCAGTTTGAATGTACTTAAATGTAAATCTATTAAACAAGTTTGTAAACTTGTAAAATAAATTCATTCATAGAAAAAAATGATAACATTTAAAAAACATCCATAGCTTACGTGTTTTAATTTACAATTAAAATTTCATCAAAACTTCATGAAATCTTTTATTGATAAGAAGAGTTTTGAAATTTTTGATAAATAGTGAGAGAGATGCAGTGTGGTACATACAATACAAAGTGAAGAAGTGAAGCGAAACAAATGATCATGCACTTATTAGCATATAAGAGAGGACATTAAACTTTGTTACATCAATACTATCTATTCTGCACGTACCTTTGACCTTATTCACGGTTTTCTTTTAGAGTTGGCATCTTTTTATCTTTTTTTTGTCAATAAAGGGATTTAAAAAAGACATGTTTAATAATGCTCTTTATTCTTCCTCAGAGTTCCATGGTGTGATAAAAGACTGTTGTCCGAACTTTAAAGCCACCACTGCATAATAGTTCATGTATTCCGAATTAATAAACGCATATTGCCTCTAGTGGGAATATAAATCATTGGAAGTTTTATACCCATTTATAAGAATGCAGTATGTTTCTATTTTAGGTTTTGATTGATTTCTGCTGGGGTTCATTCCCAATTTATGCAGCTGTTAAGATGTTGATTTCTCTTATGCTATATGAATCGAGTATTTAACCAAAATATTCCTGTGGGATGAAGGCGGAACTTATAAACACTCAATATTCTAATCACATTAGGCTAAAGTGGATCGTTTACAATCATAACTTTATATGTCTTAAAGAGTACACTGTTTAGTATAATATAATCTGTTTGCAAGTTTGGTTTTAATAATAATGACGTGGTAAAGAAACCAATAGTTTCTGTTCCTTGTATGAAAATTATTTTAATTGGTGATCAAATCTTAACTGAAAAATATGCAGGGCGATTAAGTTCAAAATGGACCACTGGATTCGATTATTGTTATTATTATTCACTTGGATTGTGAGTGGAATAAAAGTCTTCAGCAGCACAACTCCATTCCACTCTGTTTAACACAGTCTCTTTTAGGTAGCTTCGCGATTGCTAACAAGATCTCTTCTATATCGCCCTGGTCGTTTTCCTCTCAGGTCATACTCGTGGGCCTGGCATTTGATGGCGCTCAGCTGTCTCCTGACAGTGTGTTCAGTCCATCTGCTTCTGCTTATTTGTTGAGCGATAGGCTATCGGTTGATTCTTTCCCAGAGTTCCTTGCTGCTAATCCTTTGTGGCCATCTGATCGTCAGTATCCAGCAAAAGCAGCCGTCTATGATTACTGACTCTCTAGCGTGGAGAGACCACTTCCACTCCGTCTGCTCTCACAGATTCTTAACACTTCTGTACTATATCTTCTCATCTCTTTGGCAATTTGGCCAACCAGCTTCAAACATCGTGCAGATCTTCTATGTCCTGTTGCTTATTTTTGCTTTCATTGAAAGAAGACGCATCACAACTAACCGGCTTCCTAAAGGCTTTCAGCAGCTTTTATCATTTCGTCTCTTCAATTGCAGCGAAGAATAAGTTTATTTTTTCTACATTTTTCCTCTGTTCTGAAGTGTTTTTGGCGTTTCGGTTGGTTTATATAGGTAAGGTTACTAGTCCTGCGCTCAATTTTCCCTTTTTTTCCTAATAAACTAGGTGACGTTAACTACATGCTAATTAGCTCTAAAAGATAATCCTTCAGGATGATTAGGTAATCAAGAACTACTGAGAACAGATAGTCTGGAAGTAGCCATATCTGAAAATGTTACTTCAGTCTAGCACGATTCTTCAGAATGTTATATGAAGAAAAGTAACATTATTTTCAGTTGAAAAGGAAAAGTCAGAGATGCACTCAACACTTAGAAGCCAATGGTAATGAGCAACCTAGTTCATTGTTCTCTAACGGTTATTTGAAATTCTAATTGTGTAATAATTCTTAAAACTTGGTCTCTTCTTTATTTTTGCGAGAATGTTTTTAAAATCACCTCCCCCAAAAGTTGTGAACGGTGATATTTAAACAGTTTGATCATGTGTACCAAATTAGTATTCAAGTATTGGTTTGTAGGGATTTGGTGGATTGGTTACAGGATTTCATGATGAGCTGACATTGGTTAGAGAACCATTGGAAAACCTGGGAGTACTGAACAACTGCTTCGTCCCAGTTTGGGACTCTTCACAGTACGCACCCACCGACAGGGTTCGAACCCAGGACCTCCTGGTTACAAGGCGAGCTCGCATACCATTAAGCCATGGACCATTGGATCGGGTCCCAGTGGCTTAATGGTATACGAGCTCGCCTTGTAACCAGAAGGTCCTGGGTTCGAATCCTGTCGGTGGGTGCGTACGGTGAAGAGTCCCAGACTGGGATGAAACAGTTGTCCAGTACTCCCAGGTTTTCCAATGGTTCTCTAACCAATGTCAGCTCATCATGAAATCCTGTAATCAATGTACCAATTTACTTGACACTTAATCATGGATACATTGTTGACGTCCATCTGAATAACTGCAGAACAAATCTATATATGTATTTGCTGCATCACGCCATTTCCTTTTCTTCTACAACTAAGCTCAACATAATCTAATAAATTTTGCTTTCATTACTGTTCAGGAAATTATTCAATTAAATTCGATGAAAAACCATCAATCGACTTAGAAGCTGTATTTCTGTCTGGTCTCCCTGGTCTTCAGTCCAATAAATGTTTTGAATGTGGACGTATTTTAGACGCACGTAGCGGACATGAACTTGTACCCGATAAAACTTTAGGTGATTTGAATGGATCTTCAAGTAATCATCCCAAATCAACAAAAAAGCAGAAAGTCATTTCACATTTACGACGAGTTCGTTCACATCACCAGTTTAGTGAGACAACCAATGTTCCTGAAGCAACAGCTATGCGTATATGTCATATGACTGGGAAATATTATTGTGAACGTTGTCATTGGAATGATGTTTGGCATATACCGGGTTCAATCTTCCTTTTGAATGATAAATCTAAACAACCTGTAAGTTTATCCGTATTTAAAGCCAAAGTCTTTTTCGGTTGGGTATTCTTAGTATATGCATTTCGAATACCAGTGATTATTGCTTTAATTCAATCCATCAGTTATATTAAGATGTATCTTGCTTGAAATTTAGTTAGAGACTACCTTGAAAAGGCACATAGCTGTTTCTAAATTTTTTTAAAATCATTCGTCGCTATGCTTATATTAGTTCCACATTTAAATACTGTTTTGTTAGAACGTAAAAGTGAAGAAAGTTATTTCAGTTTAATTTGTACTCTTTTTCAGAATTGATTTCAGTGTTCTCAAAGTTCTGATTTTGTGTTTCGACATCAATTTCCACTGTTATCAAAATATGATATTCATTTCAAGTAGATATAAGCTGAGTGACGAATAGGGGTAAACATTTTGAATGACTTTGTGGAGGCATATTTGACTCTGAGAGCAGCACGGAGCACCAGGCTTGAACTTTAAAGTTTCGGGTGTTCACATTTTTACGGGGTAAATTCGCTATCATCTCACTCAACCTTTCCTATTTAGTAGACTTACTACCGGCTCAGAGAGGTTTAGGAGTGTATCGGCCGGAAATCTAACCCTGAACCACGTGGGTGTACAACAGAACCACCGACGCATATATTCAATTATGAGGATGTGAAGTATAACTAAAGCTGTTTAGTTTAAATAAGTTGTATAAATAAACATCTAAATATCTGATATACACCTGATGTCATAGTTGAATGTAGACCATTGTTCAGGGGAACATTTATTTGAGAACAACAAAACAGTTCCACTTTCATTAATACACCTAGTTTTTACTATTTTACTGACATGATTTTACTTATAATTATATGCATTTATATATATTTTTACATATTTTACCACTAATTAAATTTGTCGTTATTATACTAAATACTGAGAGAATAGTGATTAATACTCAGATTTGCATAAATGTACAGATCATCAAATTTCAATTCTTGATCTAACTGACAAATCTCATGGCTACAATGTAGAAATTGATCAAGTAACATCAGCGTATTCAGTAGTGAATACAGCTCACTTGAAATAAAAAGTATCTTAATACTATTCAATGAAATTATACTGTCATAACTTCGATTATTCGCTGAAATAGTGAAGAACAACAATTTCCCACAAAGTGTTGAAATTCTGTAAACAAGTGTTCTTGTTTTTTTGTTTGCAGATAAGCCGATCAATCTATATTAAGATGAGAGTTATGTGGGATTCTGTTGTATTGAGAGTCCCATCTTACTGGCATCGTGAGAATCTAGAGGCTGCTCAAGTTTATGAAGTTCGTAGTAAACTGCATAACTTACTACGTTACACTTTATTATGTCCCGAGGCGTCTTCATTGAAGGCTACTGCAGAGGTTAGTTTATACACATTGAAAATGCTACTTATAACAGTAGGCTTTAATTCTTGTCATGAAGTTTCAGCCTGAATTAACATCATAAACGCAATTTCAGCACTAGCTAGATTTTCAAAAGCAATTAAACTGGTTTTTGATCAGAATCCACTTTTTTTCACATAAATGCCATGCATATTTTGTCCTTGACTTCTACTTTGTTTTACTTACTTTCAAGGACATGTAATAAATATTACTGATGAATTAACCATGACAGTAGAGGGAATAATCAGGCTGCGTTCCGACTTTTTAATCAACATCAGACAGTATCTAGGGTTGTGTAATTCAGAAATCTCTGTATTCCAATTGTAACTTTCTTGATGTGTTCCATTTCTGACATCAACATTCTAAACGGAAAACAATTTCCTTAGTTTTCTAAAAGGTTGCTTTGTAGTGTAAAGTTTCTGCAGAGGTTGTATATTCTCTAAATGACATTCTTCATTATAAATCTGTATGGCATATTTTAATGAAGTCAAGAATGTGATCAATATTTAAATAATTAGACAGAAATATATGAAGTGATGAGTTCATAAGAAATTTTTACAACTCTGGAAGAAAGCATAAATGATGCCACTTTTACTATCTTTACAGAATACCAGTTAAAATCTGACTTTTGGTCTTTTTTCAACTAGTCTAGTTTGTGGCTTTCAGGCAAACGGATTTATGGGAGAGCTATTTTAGATACGACAGAGAAAATTTATGCATCAGGTTGTGTTCCCTGATCTGAAGCTTTCGTTTCCTTACTAAGCAACATCTTCAGCGCATACTTCAAATTAAGGTGGGTGCGACTAAAAAGATAGATAAACAGTTAGATGAAACATTGAGAAGATCGAAACAACAAGGCTTTATCTCAAAAATTCAGTATACATCAATAAAACCAACTGGGACGTTCGCATCAAGATTATATGGTTCTCCAAAAGTGTACAAAAATGGTTTACCACTTCGACCAGTACTAGACTTGCTAAACTCAACATCCCATCTCATAGCCAGATGGTAAGACAATTTCTTAAAGCCTCTACATATTAAATTAGTGAAACACAGCATAAAAGGCAACTCTGAAATTGTTTAATGGATAAAGGTTGAAGTTAATTGGTACATGGTGACTAGCAGTGCAATCCAAAATGCACATTTCGTCCTATTTTGGACTCCTCATCTGGATGGGCCTGCATTCCCCAGTGAGTGGTTATGTCGCCACCGAGGCTCGGTAGGACCGAGCACTTCGGTCCGATCAATCGACTGGAAAACTTAAAATTCAATTAAATAATTAATATGACCCACTGCACAAGAGGTGGTTCTTGTGGTTTATTCAGCGACACTTTCATATTTTCCCGGTGCTGTCTTCCTTATATGCGCATCATTGTTGCTGGTTGCACTTTGTGCTTCAATGTAAGTGACGTTTAAACAGCATAAGCTGGTTTGGTTTAGCTTTTATTTTTATTCCTTTACGTTCCCAGTGGAAAATAGGGCTTGAGGATAGAACTTTGCAGTTTCAGCAGCAGTGGTGTTTATTTTTGTTGGATACGGTTGCTAGCCTCATGCCTAACCTTCCCTCTTTACCAGTCTTACTGCTGGCTTAGAGAGGTAAAGGAATGCATCGGCCGGGGATCGAACACCGGACCACATGCGTGGTTGGCGAACATTCTATCGCTGTGCAACTGACGCACGGTTCGGCTTTCAGATAGTCATTAAATATTTAACCCATATTCATAAACTGTAAAACTTCACAAAAATACTCTTTCTCATCTGAAATTTCTTTATCTAGTTGCTGATACACTTTTCGTAAAACAAATTAGTGAACTAATAAACCTCTATGCATTATGGCTGAATGAATCTCAATATTAAACTGTGCACTGAAGTGCAACATTTCAAATTGCCATACTCCTTGTAGCACACTAAGGTAAGCAAAAGAGAAGAAAAAGAGATTCGAAAGAATTATAACCAGCAGAAGTGTGGAGGAGAAAGAAAACATGAAGGTTTATTGGACACTGATGTTCACAAAGAGTGCATAATGTCTTTAAAATAGTCTGCTTTTCAGAGTAATACTTTTCTAACTTTTCCTCAGCATAATACATGTACTTAATTGGTGGATGGTGACTAGCAGTGGAATCCAGGATGCGCATTTCGTCCCATTTGGGAGTAAAAATTGAATTAAATAATTAATATGACCCATTGCACAAGAGGTGGCTCTCGTGGCCCAAGTGGACTAGCAGATAACGCTTTGGCGTTTGAAACTATGGACACTGGGTTCGAGCCTCAGCTGGAACACCATCACTCACTGGGAAATGCAGGTACATCCTGCTGACGACTCCCAAATAGGATGAAATGCGCATCTTGGATTCCACTGCTAGTCACTATCCACCAATTAAATTACAATGAAATGCTCAGATATCGTCAAAACATCTTCATAAGAAGCCGACATGTCAACCTGAGACCGAGCACTTTGGTTCAATCAATCGATGGGAAAATCTAAAGTTCAATTAAATGATAAAGGATGAAGGTTTCATGTTGCCAATAAATTCATGATATCATTTGATGTACGTTCCCTGCTCACTAGAGTACCACTTATGCATATATTGTATTCCAAGAACGAAACACGAAACATCGATGTTAACATTCATATATCTTTTATAGAAGAGATTCTTATGAAATGCACTATGAATGGTCACTTTTTATTTAATAAGAAACTAAACAGACAAATTCATGGTGTAGCAATGGGTCACTACTAGGACCCATTCTAGCTGACATTTTCATTGTAAAACTATAGAATGGGCCTTTGAAAGATGTGATTGATGAACTAGAATTCCACTGTCGTTAAAGGGATGATACATTTTTGATTATGAAAAATGAGGATGAAACGAGAAATAAAATCCTTGACAAATTTACCGATATTCATCCTGCAATAAATTTTACTATCGACAAAGGAAGAGACTCTAGTATTTCATTCCTAGACGTTCTTATGATTAGGAATGAGAGCGGTACAGTAAGAGGACGTGTATATAGAAGACCTAAATCAGCTGGTCAGTATGCTCATTTTTTGGGAATACAAACGCAATCTAATAAAATGCTTGTATCACAGAGCAAGAGCAATCTTTTCTGATGAATGTCTTAATGAAGAGCTCAGTGTTATTAAAAAGTTGATGAGTGAGAATGGCTACCCACAAAACTCACCGATGAGAACATGAATCAAAAGTCAAGGCAAGCCAAAGTACTTTCAGTTCCGAGAAGGGACTTATTCTTACAACTTCACTTCCTCAGGAATAACATCAGTGAGATATTAAAACTGCCTAAGGAATGGGGTAAAAAGATAATTCAGTGGTGCTAAAGTAATCAGTGTCTTCAAACCCACCCATATTTTGCGTTCGGGAGTTAATTTCGCCTCTCCTATATGTATCTATCAGTTTGACTGCTCCTACGGCCGTATAGTGAGGTGTGTTTCCCCTTTGGATTTTCGATCAACACCCTGCGTGGTTAAGTAAGGGACAAACAATGCCCCTTTTGTGGATACAGAACACCAGATTGATGTTAAAGTAGCTTTCAAAGTCATTTACCGCACACCACCTAATCTCAACTTTATCCCATAAGTTCGTCTACTACATATTGCTGAGGCTGTTGAAATCTACAATAAGAAGCCTAATGTATGCATCCAGAAGAAACTGGTTTAGACGCTCCCCTTAACTTGACAATCATGGTTTTAATGATCTTTAATTTGTTGTAGAGATTTCCCTAATTTTATTTGATATTCTATTTACTATTACATTTTGTACCTGTTATGACTTATGTATCTTTCACTTATCTCAACAAATCGATGGTATATAAAAATACCAATGTTGTTAATGACGATTGTTCTGGAATATTCTGTATACATATATATATATGTATATATATAAATGTAGAGCCAGAATAGGATATTATTGAAAAGAGTATTCTTCGCCGAAATTTTCTTTTGTCTTTTAAATGTCTTATATTTATTTAATATTTTTCTTAAGTGATGAAGACTTTTCCTAATCATTGCTAAGAGATGAGCTTCTTATCGTATTCACTAATCAGTACTGATACTTTTTAGTTTGTGAAATTAATGTTACAGAGTAAGCTGACAAAATGACTGTTCTTTACGTTCGTTGCAAAACAACTTCTCCTCTGAAATAGGTTTAAGCTATAATCTATGTGACCATTAACCACATAAACGACTATATACCTCTACAGAATATAGTAAATGAGCTATAGAACTGAATACTTATTCTCGAGAAGATTTTTTATTCCTTGTCTGTTATTTTTTATTTTTTAAGGTACTTCATATGACACTAGTTAGTAACTAGTGTCACTGGAAACTTGACTGACATAATTCAGTCTGCACCAAACAAGGTACTACGCACGTTAAACTAGTTACTTATTAGTGTCCAATCTATGTAATACTGTTTTTTCTTTAATCAATTGAAAATGGAAGACTTTTAACTAGTTCCTTTTTCTTTCATTAGGTAGGGGTATCTGAGTCTCTCATGCAGGCAGTCCTTAATTCACTTTTACTGTTCACAGTATGTGCCTAGATACTCTGGTCTTATATAACATGAGCTTTTTCAATACGTCTTCTTTAGTTAATAAAATTTTAATCTATTTTTAATTTTTCAATATTACTCTTTCAGGTACATTCGTAGTGTATTGAAAATATTTTACTTATTTTCTTTTGCTAAAGCTTGTTGAACCAACTCATTTGTTGGGCTATCCTGATTATTATCGAATGTGTGATGTTCTCGATGTATTGAACGGGACATTATATCCAAGACTATTAAGTTATTTGAAAACATGGTCTGAACATGTATCACACTGTCCCGTAAGTAAATTTTCTCATCATGCATATTTATTATGGGAGTAGTCATACTTTTTTTTTTACTATTTTATTTACTTTTGAGGCAGGAAATAATCTAATCAATACACTTTTTGTTTCACTGTGATTGGCAGTCATAATTTTATCCCATTTTGTTGAAAAGCCATTAGAAAAATAGAATTTTCTAGTGTGCTTGCAAGTGAAAGTAAACAAAAGTGTTCTTGGTTTTTTATTTTAATATAGACAACGTAACTACTGAATTTTTTTATTTATACTTCCATAATGGATAAGATTTTATTTTGATAAATCACACAGTGTAGTACAGTTATATTAACTGATGAATAAAATAAAATCTTATCCATTATGGAATTATACTCTACCACAGTGCCCAAGTTTTTTATTTATATTTTGTCATTTCGTGAACAATTTGTTATTCTGGACAGTTAACCGTGTATACTCCATTATATGAATGAATGAGTATGAAATTATTTGGAACCAGAGTACTCATGGTCCTTTGTAAAAATTATATTTGTAAAATCTCAGCGAGATTGAAATGGGTAATTCCAACGTTTCGTTCGGCAATCTGGTCCGAACTTCTTCAGGGAAATTAATCGAAACATAACAGAGGTTTATATATAAAAGGAACATCTCTTATTTTTAAAAACTTTGTCCAATCATGAGTCATTCAACAAGTATAATAAACAAAATTTTATGAGCTGTGATCAAAATTTGACCTCGGACTTACAAATATTGGTCTACCTTTGTTAAACACTTTAAACAGAATGTGTATGTGTGTGTGGGTAAACAGTTGCAAAACATTTCTTAACGTCTCCATAAGAAGATATAGACAGTCGGGAACTTTGATCAAGTATTATTAATTAGTGATAAATATCCATTTTTATTTATTAATAAGGATTTCTTGTACATCAGCTAACATCACGCCTTCATGTCTGTTCAAACTGTTAGTATCTAGAATTTTATGATTAGACGTATTTTCAAAATAATGATGTTTAGGATTAGAGTTTAGTAGAAGCACCCTGTCGGACTTATTGCTCTGTCTTCCTTCTGAAGACTGAGCTGCTTCATTCGAGCTACTGGAGTTGTCAGGTGACTCGACAGCTACGGATTTAGGATATGCATTCTGTTGCAGACAATGGACCAGACTGCCGAACGAAACGCTGGAATTACTTATTTCAATCTCGCTGAGATTTTACAAATTAAATATTTAATAAAATGTCTACTTCTCACTCGGCGCCCACATATTTTAGAACTATTCTGTCAAATCTTGACGACAGTTCATTTGAAGTACTCATAGTCCCTTTAAGTATTATAAGAATGCTGGTCAGTTGCTTTAGTTCATGGTGTCGTGATTTCATTGTTTTTTTGAATGTGAAGTTGTAGAACTGAGAGAATTGGTGTTATGTTCACTCTCCTCCACTACTTTTTGTGTGTTTTGGTTGTGCCATCACTTATTATGTTCCCCTGCTCCCATGTTAATAAATCATTGTATATGAATACTCTTAACGACTCTCTTTAAAGTTCACGAACTTAAATAAGCTTCATTTAGGCAAACATATTCATCAAAGGTAATTATCCCATTGCATTGGTTCATTATTCACTAGTCCAAAGATTTAAGACGACAAAATATTGACTAGGCGAGATAAATGAATATCTTCTATCAGCTTCATGACAGCTTACAAATAATGTTATTTTCAAACACAGTATTTCGCAGATGATATCGCCTAATCACCGTGGCTATGGAATCTGGCATTCTACACCAGACTATTCTGTGGCTAAAGGCTGAATGGTCAACAGACTTGCCTCACAGCTTTAAGGTTCTCGGTCCCATCCCAGGTTTGGCCACTTTGGAACAGTCTCATTCTGGGACGAAACAAAAGTTCAGTACACCTTGTTGATAAGACACACAATAAACTAATTTTCGGTAATACATTTTGAAAATAACTACCTGATATTTTACTTGGGATTAGCCTTAGAAATATATATTGTCCTCTCTGGAATAATAGGTGGTTTGAGGATTCAGTTCGATGAATTTTGATTGCATGATCCTAGATAGTTCTGATACTGACTGAGGCCGCAAATACAAGCCCAGAAACCTGAGAGACAGTAAATCAGGAGGATATTTGTCTTCTTTCTGTTCCACGATGTGTATTCCAAAAGCGACATATTCTGGGTTTTCTGATGAGCCGTTTCGTCAGTTTGTTTGACAAGGCATAATTATCAGACGTCTGTAAAACATGCCATCAGTTATTAAGTATGTAGGTGTTATGCCAAAAGGTTAAGAAAATCGTCTGATCAACGTCATAAGATTTTTAATAAACCAGATGTTGTACGATTACTGTAGAACAACTTATGAAAATTTACATCCTGGTGATATAAACACTGTTTGCTGTTTTGCACATTTAGTCTATTTTATCGAGGACAGTGTTCCAAATATGTATTGTAGCCTGTGAAAATTACATTATGCACAGAATTCTCGGAATGACATTATGCAACGACGATCAGCATGTTTTGACACAATAGTCAACTGACTAGATGATAAGTCGAAATAAGTGACATGTAACATTCAGGACAAAACAGATTTATTTCTTTTTGAGTTACCACTGAGAAAAAGTTGCTAGCATACTTATTAGCCAGAAGAGAAATAATCTTATTCTACCAAGAAATGAGAATACTCCCAAATATTTTCTGTGAATTGAATTTCTTAGACATGAAACTAAAGTCGAGTTGAATACTATATAATGTCTTGTCAAGGGTATTCTCGCAACACTATCACTATGAGTGAAACATCTAATAACATTTCACTGATAGTCTTAGTTGCAGCTATAAAGAAAAATACTGAAGGTGATATTTTTTAAATGTCTTTTGAATATTTGCCTTGAATAATGTCAATTTGGACAACATATTTACTAGAATTAGGTTTCAGTTTTAAGCTTAATTATCTGACTTCTATTCAGGGTTGTGTACACTTGTCGCCGTCGCTAGAATTCAGTTTAGTATTTTATTTGACTGGGTTTGTAAGAATATAATCATCGCTGATTTCTACTAATTAGCTGTTAGAGAAAGATATGATTCCGTTTCCGTTTCTGACCTTTTAATTTATTTGACAGGTACCTGAAAATTGTTTCATCTTAATAGTTTGCCAGTTCACAATGAGCCTGACCAAATATTTATTTTCATCTAATAATAGTCGTTTTATGCATCTATGCTTAGTGTGGATCTTGAGGTTTCTTGATCTGTTTATGTGAGCCCTCATTCAGGTCACTTTGTTACGAGATCATATTACTGTTGAGGACGCCATTCCGTCTAAAAGATCTTCGAAACAGGGAAATACAAGATGATTATTTTTTTTTCGGTTTTATGTCAGACGTTTTTAATTTCCCGGACTTTTGTTTGAAATGATTTCATCTTGTTACACACTCTGAAATTTAAATCGACCTGCTGATCTTCAGTGAAAGTAGGTAGGCCCATCGTATGTCTTATTTTGAGTCTCTTAAGAATTCTGGCTTTCTCAACTTCCTGTTTCCTTGATCCCGGAAGTAATAATAAGGCATAACTAGTTTTAGCTGACAAACGTTCTACATTGTGCATTCTAAGCCTTGTGTAACTTATGCAATCCATAAACTGAGCTATGATAGACAAATAAAATGGAACAAGATGTGGTTTTACATCTCTCACAGTGAATGCATTTCGTTAGATTTAACGAAATGGGAGTGGTTGTATTAGATTAGATTAGAAAAGTTTACTAAAAGAATAAAATTGATCATTAATTGTAAACGTTTGCTCTATTCAGAAGTGAAATGTTGTAGATAAAATCTAACGGTGATTAAAGCATAAATTAATTCTCTGTCATTTAGTGTAATGCTCATCTATATATATATATATATATATATATATATATATATATATATATATATTACATCAAAAATAATTGATAAATCTTTCTGTCTTATATGCAAATCGGCCTATAGTTGGTTACCAATCACGATATCGTCTTCTAACTGTATATTGTCTTCATCGAAATCTCACACTAGTGTTTTTGTAATCTACTAATAGATTGTCACTGTTTCAAATATTTGTTCAACGAATCGATTCATCTGTTTAACTAAGTAGATTATGCAATTCAACGAATCATTTACAATTATTAGTTGTGTTTTTTTTTATTAAAGTGTTCATACGTTTTAAACTGCTTTTATGGATTTTGTGAAATACATGCTTTCACTTACACTTCTATGCATATCTTTAATTTTGAGTGTTGAAATCTTAACAAAGGTCAGTGAAAATCTCTCTATCTAATTGTTCGACGTGACACTTGTGTGACGATCACATCAACACGTTTCCTTCTTGCTTAAAGATGACAGATGTCATTGTATGTGTGTGTGTGTGCGTTACTTTTCAATTTAAAAAAGAAAATAATTAACTTTTAGCACAACATAGAGACCCAAATAAACCTTAATTAGTTACTCACGTTCTTAATAAGTGATTATGTCACTCAGTGAAAACAATATTAAACTTGGAAAAGACATTTGATTTAGCACTGCTGAGTCATTCTGTAAGGAAGTTGATGCTTATTTGATTGGATTACCAAACGTTTGTGTTAATTATTCTTAATTCTTTTTTTACCACTCTGTTTAATTTAACTTTTCCATATATATTGACTTGACAAGTAAATGTGTGATCAGACTGTTCGAAATGTATAGCCCTAATACATCACATTTTTCAGATAATCTCCGTCTTCTAATAATGCTATCACAATATTATCTTGATATAAGGATAAAACTTGGGAACTGTGGTAGAGTATAACTCCATTATAGATAAGACTTTATTTTGATAAGTCACACAGTGTTATACAGTAATATTAACTGATGATCACCTTTCGAGCACAAACCACTGCTCATAATCATATCAAGTCATTGACGCAACTTTTTGTGTGCGAGTGACTTGATATGATTATGAGCAATAGTTTGTGCTCAAAACGTCATGAGTTATTATTAATGAATAACACTTTGCGATTTATCAAAATAAAATCTTATCTACAATATTATCTTGTTGGTGAATAATAAACGTTAATACTTTATATTAAAGGCAAAATTAAAATGGAGTAATCATCCTGTGAAAACAGAAATATAACGGTGGTGAAGTGAAATCATAAACATGTAATAAGGCAACCATACCCGTTGTACACTATGCATTCATATACTAGTAACGTTCTATGTTAAGAAGTTTAGGCAGTCTGGTATAAAGCAGTCTTTGCTTTCTCAGTTTGTCAATTCCTGTATTCTACCCATCCCTCTTTACTGCTCCCCATTAATCTTCCCTGGACTACTTAAGAAAGACTTCGCTTTTGCTGCGTAGGGCACTAAAAGCTGTTAGTAGGGGAAGTGGGATTTCGTTAAACCAACTGGTTAACACAATTGTGGACAGACATATAATGTCATGTAAGAAGCTAGCGAATTCTATATTGTCAGACCCCGAACACCCTCTCCATACGCAGCTCTCTCCTTGCATTTCATCTGATAGAACTAGAAGCAACTATAGGAAGCTATATGCCAGGACTACCAAGTATAAAAACTCCACAATACCTTATCTGGCACAGCTGTTATGTGATGAGAAAACTGTTAGGCATGACACGATCAACTTACTGCGGCACTCTAACAAATAGTTCCTATTAGCTTTTGTTCTCCTTTCTTTGTTACTATTATATTGTTGCTCATATATTCTATTACAGACTAATTTGATATTTCATATCCTGTGGTGCATTGTTTAAATATGTGAATGCAATGCTGTTCTTTTTTATTTCTTTTATTTATCTTTTTTCCTTTTTGTTGTTGTTGCTTTTTATTTTTAAAATCTTATAAAATTTATGAGGTAATTAGATGCAATATTGTAATGCACGCTGAAAATTCCATACCTGTACCACAAATACTGTTTGGAATAAAGCCATTATTATTATTAAATAAAAAGTATCCTGAATAGCTGACTTCTATGAAACTTCTCTCCAGGCAGTATTAGTAAACGAAATCTCCAAAATTACGTGACCTTTCGACACCTCTAGAACGTGATTCACATCAGCTTTTTAGTACTATTATCAGATCTGTGGTATGCACAAGATGTTAGACAAATAAATAATTGATGTGTTTGCAGCTTCTTTCATAGGAAAACAGAGTTATTATGAATTATAGGTTTAGCTAAATTTTGATTTCAGTACATCATACCTAAGAAAAATTTACTCAGAACTTTTAAACGATGCTGCATTTTAATGGTCAGAGGCATAAATGGGATTTTGCCTTAAGGTTGTTATAACTGAAGCAGCATTATGGAATTCGACTACAACAAATAAAGCAGGTACCAATATCAGTATAAAAGGGCCACTACTGTAAGAACAGAAGGCAAGACACGGAAGCCAAGGTATATTTTCTATTGATCAAACCACTGCTTATGTATCTGCAGTTTATATGCGTTTACCAATCACTGGGCGTGTGATTTCAGTTTACATCAGACGACATGAAATTGAATGTTCAAATATATATAGCATTCTTTTGTTGATGCAGTCAGAATATAACCGTGGGAAATGCATTCTGTCGGTAACATCAAATAGAATGTTCAAATAGATATACTGTATTCTGTCGCTAATACCAAAATGAACTGTGGGAATACGTGAGACTAATATTCCGTTGCCACATATTGTCTGTATCACACCACCACACTACTACTGTAACAGCAGGAGACAAGGGCCAGGCAACAGATCGTTTATTAAGGAAAATCAACACATATTTATAGATTTTAATGTACATTATTGTAGATTATTGTTAGTAGAGAATGCAGTCCTTTGATTGAGTGTTTCTCACAGAAAGTTAACCTTGCATCTCTTTGTGGCTGTGTCAGATCATTCATACGCTAACTGTACCCGCCTACGCAAAGCCTTTGATCTCATTTTCTCACCACCAATATTTGGGACATAAACATTGACGTCAATTACTGTCTACCAACTTTGGCTAGCAGCCAGCTCTCACCACACTACTACTACTGTACAAATTTCATTCGTAGCATAGTTAACTCGCTATATCTTTTCATGGCAATGCTCAGGAAGCAGATTACCTATAGAGATCTACATTAGTGTGTGTTTCTTCTCAAACTATGTTGTTATTTTAAAGCATTGTAATAATACCACGTTAAGTCATAAAAATATCAATCAAGACTTCTGTGAAATTGAACTTTTATACATTAAAACTCAATATGTGCCGAGTTAATTATTCGCCAAGTTAATTTTAATAAGTATGGTTTACTAATAATTACTACTTTTCCTACTTTTATTCAAGGTTTGCGGTGACGCTCAGAAGACTGCGGGAAGTGATGGTGGTATATGGGTCGGTGAAAAACTCGTTTAACACCTACTCACCACGAAGAGATGTTTCATTTTTAGTAGTTATATTAATAATATAAATTTTGATACCTACTTGTTTTGCAGTTTTGATGTTTCAAATTTACTTTAATTTTCTTTTTAGTTGCTTTAACAAAAATTTTCTCAAAGTTTTTTAAAATACTTTTTACACCTCTTTCACGATTTTAATAACTTGTTGAAAACCGGACCAACTCTTATTGTTTAGCAACTGCCGTATATAATGTGTATATCACAAAACCGGATAATTGATATCATTGTAAAATGCTTACTCAGGACGAAGTCTAAATCTGGCGCATTACAGTAGCAGAGAAAACCAAATGATGGGATATATTTTCTAGATAATTTCTCACTTTGATTAACTGTTTTTTTCAGACATTTTATCTACGTGATTATTTTAATTTTAAATTACAAAATATTTTTATGACAGAAATAACTTCGTGATTGGATTTATATGTATGCAAACATCTAAGGAACTTATAAACATTTCCGTTCGATGCACTACAATGTATTCTACAGACATAGAAGGCGAATGAATGAAATATAAATGCATGCTAATATTTCAGGCATCTATAAAAATTTATTATGACTATTGAAAGAATCGAACTTTATAAACTAGACAAGACTTGAGAAATAAATATATATATATTTTTTTCTTTTTCATCCTTAAATCAGTTAGAATATTCCTAGCATATTTATGATGTTTTCATTGTACTCTACAATTTTAATCATTGTAGTCGCTTTAAACTTACCAAAAATACATGATTATGTTTGTGCACTTACATTCTTTAAAATGCCGCCTGTTTAAATGAGGTCTGGGTTATTTAGCAGGTTTGTGCACATTGTTTATACCCACTAGGATAATTTTAGATAAAATTCTTTTTTACTTACCTTCAAATATCAGAATCTATCTATAGTCAGATAATAAAAAAGAGTAGTAGAAGCATATATGTAATAGACCATGTAGGAAAGCTAAATTATTTGCCAGTCTAATCATTTAAGCAATTGATGATTTGCAGAGAATGGAACTTTACTCTGGAAAAGACTGACAAAGTGAAGAAAATGTTTAAAAACATTTCTAAAGATAATGAACTGGATATGACCAGGATTCTCAATATTAGTTTTTGGTTTAGAAATAAAATTATTACGTTGTTGACGGTGTGAAATTACTGTCCTAAGTGTGAATTTTTCTAGACTATTTCGAGATTTACCACTGGACATTTAGAAAAAGCGTCATATATCTTGTGGGTTATCTACTACACAAAGTTTTTAATGACTGCTTATGAAACTCAGGAAATACCGAAATTGTGCTTAACGATTATTTGTTCAGAAGAACCGGTTAGCAAGTTAAAAACCCGTATTTATATTAATAAGTGTCTGTGAGACTTAAGACAATGGTTTTAGAAGGTCTTGATTGCAATTCATTGTTTTATACTTGAGCTACCTTCCAGCTCTTCTTATCTTATGCCTTATCTACTCAAAGATTTCGCTTATTAGCTATGTTAACAATAAATTTATCATGCTGCATCTTTTCTATTGAAGACACTTTGGGAAATTTACCCAGCAAAGTCGTCTCTTTGGGTGCAACAGTGGAAGTTGTCCACTAATGACAGTAGTTTTTTCTCTTCTGTAGTCCAAGTGACTGAGTTGTTTAATGTAATGGTTGCTTTGTAGGATACATTTTACACTAATCGAAGGCACTATTGAGACAGTATTCTAAAGCATACGTGTATATTCCTTTGCAAAATATTTCATATGAACTGTGATCAAGATTTGACCGAATTGTTCCAAAATAATTGGGCGCCGAGTGAGAAGTAGACATTTGTAAAAGATTATATTTGTAAAATTTCAGTGAGACTCAGTGGAGACTCTATAGCAGTTCCATATTTTACCTATAGTATTTGTGTTTTACAAAAATTTAATTATTGTCAAACATCAATCTAATTCACAATATAATTAGAAAATGAATCAAAGATTTCATTTCTGGATATACAATTGAAAAGAACAGCTGATCAGACTATGAAAAGATCTGTTCACAGAAAACCGTTATGGGATGGTCAACTAACAAACTTATGTAGTTGGATACCTGTCAGTCGTAAAATAGCTTTCATCATCATATGAATCTGGACTTTCGTGGATATTTAGTGACATTTATCTTAAAGAGAAGCCCTTCCTTGCAGCAACGCTAAGACTGGCATTATCTATCCATCCACGTCCCCTAAGCAATCTATAGAACAAACTGCCGCATATAACCACTCCAGATTTACATATATCAGTCCACCTGCTCCTGTGGAGCTAAGTACACAGACTGTTCAATGCGCCTCCTTTCAAAACCTTTTACAGGACGCTACACAGAGTGGCTGCAAACATTAGGCTTTATTTCATTCAGAAGAGCTATAACTGAACACCTCATTAGCACCTCTCATAGTATTTCAGTTGATACATCAATCACAGTCACTTACAAAGTGAGCAAAAGTCTACAAAACATAGTACTGTAGAAGCCCTCTCCATATGCATCAAGGAGCCAGAGTTATGTGCTCGAAAGGTATAAGTTCAACTTCTACATTTACCATAAATCTAGTTCTATGCCGCTTCTTGGCTGTCTATTTGCTTTTTTAATCCCCTTCATTTTCTCATCTTCAGTTACATAAAATATTATTTCAATTCATTTGTATACACACCCCGCTCACATCTGGTTTGTTAAAATCAGCCGTGCATGTTACGCAACTAATTTCTAGCACTATGTAGTTTTGTTTCTAGCCTTCATATAATATGTATTCACACCTTTAAACTATCATATCAGTTTGATGGTTATTGTCTCCACTAATCTGCCTTCTTTACTACGCTGAATGGAATAAATGTAACTATGTGAACTAATATTTAAAAATGCGATTGTTCAGACTTTGAGAATAAAATCACCGAAGAGATATTTTTGATGAGCCTTATTCTCTTTTTTCTATAATGCCCTGGTGAGTACTTTGGACGGTCAGCAATTCTCGTTATTTGCTGAATTACGTTAAATTACAAATCGGATTACTTCGTCAGTGCATTCATACATCACATATTGCAGCATATCTAGCTACAAATAAACTTCTTCTGTAGTTTCTCTGCCAGACATTTCTTTGGTATTAAGTAAAAATTATTAGAATTCCAAACTTCCGTTGAATGATAAACCTAACCTTAATACAGGATTGTGTGTCGTTCTTAACACTCACCAATGATAAATCCCATGTTGATGAATACAAAGATTTACATTAAATGTCTTTCACATAATCGTTTCGTCTAAATCATCACACTACTATCTAGTAGTCTGTGTTTTTATCTCAAATGAGCAAAAGTGACGGCTAAACTGGTACATAAATTAATTTATGCAGCATGACTGTTGAAAGACGTGAAAAATTGACTGCCTAATAGTTTTTAATCACTTTTTGCTCAATCAGAGTCTTGATATTGTTACCAATTTTTTCCTTTCAAATACAGACTACTAAAAGAATATCTATACATGTTGTATTCAGAGTAATTTTTAAATAATTGCTTACTAAGTTAATTATTTCAAACAACACACAAGGGTTATGCATTCGTTTGAGAACATAGACTAAGAGAGTTTCTTTGGGTTCCAAGTGGAATATAGGGCTTCAACAACACATCTCCACTTTGTTCTGTTTCCTGCTCTCCTCTTCAACTGGCCCCACGATTACCTGTAATCTCTCATCTCCTCTTCGCACAATCTCCTCCATGTCACTCTCGGATGACCCACTCGTCGGTTTCCATTCGGATTCCACTCGAGGTATGGCCTGGCAAGCGATGTCATTCGACGGTCTTCCCAGAGTATGCCCAATCTATTTCCATTTTCTTCTCCATATTTGTTGAATTATAGGTTTCTGGTTAGTTTGTTGCCACAGTTTCTTGTTGCTAATTCTTTCTGGCCATTTGATCTTCACTATGGAGCCAGCGAAGGCAGCTGTTGATGAAAGTCTGTAACCCTTTGGAAATCCTTTTCATGACACTCAGTGCAAGTTTTGGACTCATATTAGAAGGACTGATTTGACATTGGTGTTGAAAATCTGAATCTTGTTGTTCATGCTGAGTGGAGGAGATTTCTAAAGAGATCTCAGATTGATGAAGGCGCATCTTGTCTTTCTGATTCTGACTTTGATATCTTCATCTGTTCCTCCCTGTGGTGACTATTTTAACATTTCTTAGTTTACTAACGTTGTAAGTTGATAAAACTGGAAAAGTGACATAACAGACAGCTTTATATGGAAACATTTCTAGTGAATTATTCAAATAGTAGATTTAAAAATTATTTCAGATAATGAAATCCATTAAAAAAACACTGTGCACAGTAGTTATCGTTGTGTTAACTGAAATGTTTAAAAATTATTCAGAATAGTGAATCATGAATTTTAAGAAAATTATTGGAATGGACCACTCACGCCAGCTAAGTGATGCAGAGGAAGAAGAAGAAGGAGAACTTTCAAGGTTCATTTCTAATGTTAGTTTGAAAAACACTTTGAAATTCAAGTGTTGGTTTGTAGGGATTTGATTGGTTACAGGATTTCATCATGAGGGGACATTAGTTAGAGAACCGTTGGAAAACCTAAGAGTACTGGACAGCTGCTTCGTCCTAGTTTGGGACTCTTCATCAGTACGCAACCACCGGGATTCTGTTTACAAGGTATACGAGCTCACCTTGTAACCAGAAGGTCCTGGGTTCGAACCCTATCGGTGGTTTCGTACTGATGAAGAGTCCCAAACTAGGACGAAGCAGCTGTCCAGTACTCTTAGGTTTTCCAATGGTTCTCTAACTAATGTCCCCTCATGATGAAATCCTGTAACTTTGAAATTCATGAATTTCAGTACATGAATACCGACTGAAGAAATAAACTTTGCGGTCACATTTATACACACTGATGAGGAGGCAAAAGACAAATCAAAATCAAATGTTAAATGTAACAGTTGAATGATAAAAGAACCAGTGTTAATACT